CAACTATACGCGATATCCTGATCGGCCATTAAGAAGGAGTGCCTCACTTCAAGAATACAAGGCTGTACAAGTGGAAGCCGGTAGGGTACTGAACATAACCTACAAGCCGAATGTTACCTTCTTCGTGGGAGGAGTTGCAGACTTGCCTGAACTGTCTATTGAAGGCGATCTCGACAGGATGAGGAGGGACATATCAGCCTTTGCCCTGGAGGATTTCAGAGCGAGTAGGGCACCCAGCCTAGTTCCGTCAAGACAACAGTCCCGAGAGAGCACAGCTCCAGCTGGCCCGATCTTGCGTTCATCAAGAGGACGTAGTATCAGCTCAGAGTTAAGTCGACTCCCATCCGGAACTCCTACCGATCCTTACTCCTCTTCACCTCGAGGAACGCCTGTCGGTCCAGGACCGACAATCAACCTGTCAATGCAGCAAACAGCTAGGCCTGGACGTGCTACTGAAGCCCCATTGCATCAGAGACTGAGAAGCAGCAACATCATGCCTCCCAGTTTTCCTGATAGACCTCAGGAGCCTCGTGTGCCTCTATGGAATGAGCTTCATAGCCTTAACCCTATCAGGCCCTCAGTGGGTTCTCCGAACTGGACAGGGTTCGATCATGCTATCAAGATGGATATGTATGAAGCGGACTGCGAAAGGATCCGTCGAGTGAGAATGCAGAATCAGGAGAGAACTGCTGCTGCTGCTGCTGCTCGAGCAGAGTTTGAGAGCAGACGGGGACAGAGAAGAGGTCAGCGTTAGGATCTGTCCAGGTCGTGCCCGTGTTACGAATGGACTGAAGATGGATACTGATACTCCTGCGTTGATTTGAATGATGGCTCAAGCGATAGGGAGAGGCATGAGGGTTGAATTGGGGGGATGGTTCGGTTTGCAGTGTTTCCTTTGGCAGTTTGCGATGAATTCTTTATTTCTTTACTTCATCTCCCTCTGATCAGACCTGGCACACCATTGGACTTGTCGCAACTTTGGAAGAAAGTTGCTGGGGGAGGACTGTTGTGGTGGCCAGGGTGGTAGTCCGTGGGACGTGGAGTACAGTGGGTCAAGGGTCCTCATACATATAAAGGATACCACCCACTTTTCAAATTCTTTAGCTATAAGCAACAATCAAGCATCCTTTCTCTTCTTTTCAATTTTGAACCCTTTGGACAGGTCTAAGACAGGTTTTTCACCCTGTTCTTGCGCCCGTGTGGCCTTAGTTTGCTGTCCTCATCTGTACAGGCACGCTTGGGTTGCATGAGCCCTTGCCCATTGCTTCGGCAGCTGTTTGTCCCTCTTTCTTTCGAGGGCGACGGCGCCCTAGTTCTGGTTCACTAGTATAAACATCTAAGCAATATAGAGAATGTTTCTTAAGCAATAGAAGAATTAAGCTAGAGCAAACAATCTAGCAAGCTGCAGAAGCTCTCTGCAAATCATATGTCCAACAAACCTAAAGAAAGGTTTTCCTTTAGTATTGAATGAAATAAGGAAACAACATGAATCGAATATCTTATCTATAGAATAGAGCTGAAAGAGCTCTTTATCTGCATCTCTTTGCAGAATATCGAGGTATGGAAAGATGAGGATTCTCGGATTAGCTTACTTTATAACCTATACTATGAATTAGCTTGGATCTCCTGTATCTATCATAGCTGCAGAATACATTTCTTAGACAAGATGCAATACGAATAGTTTTCTATTAGAGAATCAGAATAAATCCTTTAGGCTGTTGAAGAACAGAAATTCCGCTTCAAGGAGATTCTTAACAAACAGTACTACAATACATACATCGAACTATCAGACAACTGCTTTATATAATGTATAAATAAGGAAATAAAATGATAGCAGTACAAAACAATACTCTGTATGATTTATATCAATAATAAGATTTACAACTGATATTAATAGAAGAAAAATCAGGAATAATGATAATATAAGCAAAAGCAAGCTAAAAAGCTTGCTTAAGAAGCAGTGAAGTAAGCTTAAAAGAATAAGCAGTTCTTAATAAATCCAAAAGAACAGAATCGCCTGTAAAGGAACTGCAGACAATCAGATCAGAACAGTTCTTATATAAAGCTTTCAGAACAGATTATGCTTATATCAAGTTTGATATATATATTTAAGAATACAAATACAGCGTATTATTGAATAGTAGCGCTCAGGGAAACTTCATATTCCTATATATTGTTAATTAAGCATAATTACAATAGAGATAGAAGAGATACTTATATACTTTTAGTACTATAAAAGAACAATCTGTTGCATATAACCAAGAAGTAATCAATAAGAAAACTGATTATCTACTTATCTTAATTTAAGAATATATAATTAGAGCTTCTTTTGATATTATAAATATAGCATAGCATGAGCTAATTATAGAGCTTTTATAGCTTAAGAAGCATAATCCTCAAATCGATTGAACTACTAGCTAGCTTTCATAAGAACAAGCTGTATCCAGAGAAATAGTTACAATTAATAGCGCAGAATCGAAGCTAGTGATTGAAGAATACTTAGGAAAAGAAGCTTCATACAACTTTATATATACTTCCAAATCAGCAGAGCTAGCAGTTCAAGGAGAAGGATCTAGTAACAGGCGAATCCAAACAGTGTTAGAGCGCTAACAGATTAGCAAAACAACGGAAGCAAGATCCTCAGCAAGTCAGTTCGCTCCGGAGCAACAAGGAAAAGCTTCAGAAAGTGAGTTGTGAACCTATACAGAAAAAACCTCGAAACTAGGCTCTTAAGCGCTCGATCCAGCCCGGAGCAAATGCTTAAAGCTCTCAAAAACGCCATTAGAAAAGAAGTACGCTTAACAGTACCTACTATTCCTTCAGATAGCAGAAACAGCATAAGAACCAGAACTAATACTTGCGAACATACTATGAGAATATTATAAGTTTAAGAAACTATTCTAGGAAGAATTGGATATGGAATTGCTAGAATACAGCTCATACAATTACAAGATCCCGCTACAAGAAGGAAAACAGCTTAAATTCTTTCCTATCTACAGACTAGATAAAGCATAGCTAAAAATACTTAGGAAATATCTTAATAAGAATCTTAAGAAAGAATATATATAATTATTGCAATTATCATTAGAATATTCTATCCTATTTATATCTAAGAAAAATAGCAAGCTCAGGCTATATATTAACTATAAGCAACTCAACAATATTATAATTAAGAACTAATACTTATTGCTACTTATTAAGAAACTATGAGATAGATTATAAGAAGTATAGTGATTTACAGTTCTAAATCTGAAAGAAGCTTATAATCTGATTAGAGTAAAGAAAGAAAAAGAATGGAAAACTGCTTTCAGAATATGCTATGAATACTACAAATATTTGATTATGCTCTTCAGTTTAACAAATGCTTCAGCTTCATTCCAGGAAATGATTAATTACATTCTATATAAGCATCTAGATCAATTCATCATTGCTTATCTCAACAATATCCTTATTTACTCTCGAATATTGGAAGAATACAAGAAATACATGGAAACAGTATTGCAAACGCTTCATGTCAGGTGGAAAGGTTGCAAAGGCAATGTGGCGAGGTCTTTCTCTCTTTCAGGGGCATACAACCAGAATAACATTGAGGCCTAAGGAGCTAAGTTCTGCTCAGCAGTGCTGACGTGGCTAGAAAGCCGCTTTATAGCCGCATATTGCTTAGTCATCCGTAATCCAGCTGGCTTAGCTGGCCCTGAGCCTTGCTGGCACAATCGGCCCTGACAGATTGTCCCCCCTTATCAGGCCTTGTCCTCAAGGCCTTTGAGGCTTCCGAGCTTTCGTTGCTTCCAGGCTTCCGTTGCTCCCAAGCTTCCGTTGCTCCCAAGCTTCCGTTGCTTCCAGGCTTTCGCTGCTTCCAGGCTTTCGCTGCTTCCTAGCTGCTCCTACGCCTTCTCAATGCTTCAGGCTCTTAAGATCTCTCAGTGCTTCAGGCTTCTCAAAGCTTCTCAAGATCCCTCAGTGCCTCAGGTTTCTCAAAGCCTCTCAAGATCTCTCAGTGCCTCAGGCTTCTCAAGGCCTCTCAAGGTCTCTCAGTGCCTCAGGCCTCTCAAGGCCTCTCAAGATCTCTCAGTGCCTCAGGTTCCTCAAGGCCTCTCAAGATCTCTCAGTGCTTCAGGCTTCTCAAGGCCTCTCAAGGTCTCTCAGTGCCTCAGGCCTCTCAAGGCTTCTCAAGATCTCTCAGTGCCTCAGGTTTCTCAAAGCCTCTCAAGATCTCTCAGTGCCTCAGGCTTCTCAAGGCCTCTCCACCATCTCCCTCCTTCTCTTCTGGCTTCGTCCCCGAAGCCTGTGAAAAAAAAATCTCTTTTTAATCACATTCCAGACGTAAGTCTTCCGAGTGCAATACCCGCGCCATATACGCTGCTCAGTCGCTGCTCCCTCAGCGCTTTATCCAGGCACTCTTCAGAACTTAAAGCTGTTTGATGTAGGTTGCAAGCCTTCCACCAGGGACTTGGTTTGCAGCCAAGGAGCCCAGCATCCAGGACAGCGTCCCTGCAGCTATAACGGATAATTATAGCTTTCCGTCTTGAGAGTTGCTCTCTAGCAACTCTGAAGCCGTTGCCACGCTTCGCTCCACCGCTAGGCGCAGAAGGATAATTGGTTTGCAACCTAATACCCAAGCAACTTCAGTTGCCAAGCGGACACTCCGCTTCAGCTCTGCGCTCTCGCTCAAATAGCGAAGAGTACACTCTCAAAAACAGAAGATACTCAGATCTACTGCTTGCTCACTCTGCTCTCTCGCTCGAATAGCGAAGAACACACTCTCGAAAACAGAAGATACTCAGATCTACTGCTTGCTCACTCTGCTCTCTCGCTCGAATAGCGAAGAATACACTCTCGAAAACAGAAGATACTCAGATCTACTGCTTGCTCACTCTGCTCTCTCGCTCGAATAGCGAAGAACACACTTTGTTCTAGCTTAGCAACTCGAATGCTCTGAATCTCTTCTGAACGCTTCTCGCACGCTGCTTGCACACTGCTTGCTCGCTATTTGCTCTAGCTTAGCAACTCGAATGCTCTGAATCTCTTCTGAACGCTTCTCGCACGCTGCTTGCATACTGCTTGCTCGCTGTTTGCTCTAGCTTAGCGACTCGAATGCTCTGAATCTCTTCTGAACGCTTCTTGCACGCTGCTTGCATACTGCTTGCTCGCTGTTTGCTCTAGCTTAGCGACTCGAATGCTCTGAATCTCTTCTGAACGCTTCTCGCACGCTGCTTGCAAACTGCTTGCTCGACACTGCTTGCTCGCTGTATGCTCTAGCTTAGCAACTCGAATGCTCTGAATCTCTTCTGAACGCTTCTCGCACGCTGCTTGCATACTGCTTGCTCGACACTGCTTGCTCGCTGTATGCTCTAGCTTAGCGACTCGAATGCTCTGAATCTCTTCTGAACGCTTCTCGCACGCTGCTTGCATACTGCTTGCTCGACACTGCTTGCTCGCTGTATGCTCTAGCTTAGCGACTCGAATGCTCTGAATCTCTTCTGAACGCTTCTCGCACGCTGCTTGCATACTGCTTGCTCGACACTGCTTGCTCGCTGTATGCTCTAGCTTAGCAACTCGAATGCTCTGAATCTCTTCTGAACGCTTCTCGCACGCTGCTTGCATACTGCTTGCTCGGCACTGCTTGCTCGCTGTATTCAAGGCTCGAAAGCTCGAAAATCGAAGGCTCGAAGGTCAAAGGCTCGAAGGTTAAAGGCTCGAAGGTCAAAGGCTCGAAGGTTCGAAAAGAATAGTGGTCTGATCGTTTGCTCTGCTCCTGCTCAGTGTTAGCGCTGCTCCTAGGGAAGAAAAAAAAAAGATAGAAAGCCTCGCCGGATTGCCTCCTTTAAAAGGGCCAGGCCTCAAACTGTCAGGTGGAAAGGTTGCAAAGGCAATGTGGCGAGGTCTTTCTCTCTTTCAGGGGCATACAACCAGAATAACATTGAGGCCTAAGGAGCTAAGTTCTGCTCAGCAGTGCTGACGTGGCTAGAAAGCCGCTTTATAGCCGCATATTGCTTAGTCATCCGTAATCCAGCTGGCTTAGCTGGCCCTGAGCCTTGCTGGCACAATCGGCCCTGACACTTCAGAATGCAAAGCTTCTTATAGAATCTGCAAAGAGCTACTTTTATATACAAAAAGTTAATTATCTCGAATTTACAATCAAGCTAGAATGCATTAAGCTATAGAAAAATAAAATGAAAGCTATTAGAAATTAGCTAATTCCTAGAAATATTAGGAATATTAAGTCTTTCTTCAAATATATCAACTTTTATAAGCAGTTCATTAAGAACTATAGCTGAATTGCACATTCTCTTACAAATCTTACTAAAAAGAAGCAATTCTTCAAATGAATCCCTAAGGCATAAGAAGCTTTTGATAAGATTATTAAGCATATTATCTTAGAGCTAGTTCTATATAAAGCAGATCTTTACAAACCCTTTAAAATTAAGACTGATGCATTAGAATATGCACTTGGAGAATAACTTGATTAGCGAAACAATCAAGAACATCTAAGGATTATAAGCAACTTCTCAAAGAAGTTGAACAGCTCAGAAATCAACTACAGAATCCCTAATCAGAAACTCATAGCAATAGTAAAAGCCTTTAAAAAGTAGCAATACTACTTCATTAGCATACAATACTTAATCATAGTTTACTCAGATTACAAGAATCTAATTACATTTATAACAACTAAGATTTTGAATAAGCAACAAATCAAATAAGCAGAATTCCTCTTACAATTCAATTTCAAGATTATACATTGCAAAAGCTCGGAGAATGAACGAGCAGATGCTCTCAGCAGAAAATCAGATTATCGAAATGCAGATTCCTCGAATATACAGAATATCTTTATTCAAAACGAGTTAGAAAACCTTATTAATGCATACAGAGAACTGAACGCTGCTCTCAGAATAGAATCCTCAGAAAGAGATTCAGAATCAATAACTCCGAACGAATAAAACAACTACATCAAGAATATACACAGTATATCAGCATACAGGCATCAGAGAGTTAGAATAATCTATAAATGCATTAGAAAATACTGGAACTTATCAGATCTTAGAAAAAGAATTGAAAGCATTCTACAACAATGCAATAGCTGCAAGAAGAATAAAGCAGAAAGATATAAGCCTTACAGACTACTGCATTTCTTACTAGTACTTATAACTATTTAGCAATTCATTAGTCTAAACTTCATTATTAAGCTATTTCTCTTACAAGAATTCTTAATTAAGATGCAATATAATAGCATTCTAGTAATAGTTTGCAAACTGAGCAAGTATGCTTACTTTCTTCCTTACAAGGAAAACAGTACAGCAGAAGAACTCGCATATGCATTCCTCAGAACAATTATCGCTAACTACAGCATACTAGTATTGTGGTGGCTAGTATAGTGATCCTTGAGACATTGAGTGGAGCAGGGTATAAGTCTTCGTGCATATAAGGATACTACCCACTTTAGATTTTCGCGATCAGAGAACAATAATCAAGTATCCTTTCTCTTCTTTTCAATTTTGAACTCTTTGAATAGGTTTAAGACAGATTTTTCACTCTGTTCTTGTGCTTGTATAGCCTTAGTTTGCTATCCTCATCTGCACAGGCACGCTTGGGTTGTACAAGCTCTTGCTCATTGCTTCAGCAGCTGTTTGTTCCTTTTTCTTTCGAGGGTGATAGCGCTCTAGTTCTGGTTTAATAGTGCGGTAAGTGTGAACTTGGCTGTCCAGGCTGGTAGCTCAGGGCTGTTGTTATTACAGTTCGTGAGAATTAGTAAAGCTAGCAAGTTGATCTTATGTATGAGCATACTCTTTCTCCCTGCTGAATTCTTCTTATTTCTTTATTTTATACTGAACTGACAGGCTGCACGCTATATTCAGACTTTGGGTCATGCCTGAGACCTCTTGTAAAGAGGAGATGGGTGAGCAAAGGAGGGATGATATAAGTTCTGGTTGAAGGTTAAAGAGCAGAGCGTTGAGCTAGCAAGCTAATATTACGAAGAAACAAATTCCTTTGTACAACATTTCCTATAACAAACAACACTCAGACTTGCAATCTGGTACAGTTCAGAGCTGTACAGATTGGGAGCAGTCTAATCATGCTGAGAGTGGATCTCTGGTTAGATTACAGAATATAATGCTTTTAGCGGATGGTACTTTACGGGAAGGAATAAGAAGAGCGGTGAAGCTTGTAATCCTTGCTGCAAACTAATCAGTACGCTCTGTTTGGCCTCGCCTGATTATCTTGTTTCTGTAAACAAAAAGCTTATTAGCTACATTTTCCCGAAAAAGAAAGAAACAAGATAATGAGAATGGGATAAAATCAGTGCATACGAAGCATTAGGATGAGGAATTATAATAATAATAGCAGATGTTAGACTATTATGCGTACAGCATTCCTGGACAGGAATATTGCTATTGAAGAATGAAGGAGATAATAAGAATAATTCCTTGGAGATGTAGATCAGTTAATATACCTGCTTATTACTCGCTCCGAAATCATCCTTATATATATCTTGCTCTAGCATCAGACTTTCTTTAGATATCTCGGATATCTCAGTATCTCCGATCTGGCTAGAGTTGTTTTCTGTTATATACGGAAGATATTTCAGCTGTAGCATTTTCTCTTCAAAAATCTCGAGTTAGAAAGCTAAAGAAACATCAAGGGAAGCAATAATCAGGAAAAAGAATAGCTTCTTCATCTAACAAGTCTCCTGATCCAACCCCGAGCTCATTTGGTTCCTCTGCGAGTAGATAGTATGAATCTAACTTCCAGTTCCCTTTCCATAGCGAACTCGCTGGTAGCAGCTTGATACTGTTTTCTTGAATAGAAGTCTTATTATAGCTGAAGTATTTCGATTGGTAGCGTTAAATCAAAGGCATTGATAATATTCAGGCGTTTAACTTTATAAAAGGCTTCTGTTCAGATGCAGTTGTTGCTAGAAAAGTAGAAAGATATATCATAAGTGCTAAAATATGAAGCAAATAGAAGAACTAACTATTGATTGCATATCAGCTCTGGGATTATCTCCAAGCATATATATCTGAGCAGAAGCAGCTGAATATCATTAACAACCGTTTCATTACTAATGCTGCAAGCTTATAATCATTCGTTATTGATTATAATAATGCTCTTACCCATCTCAAGATCAGAAATACTCAGCCTATTGCTGAAGCTTGAATAAAACTCTACTCAACTTGAATCAAGCATCTTCGAGCTAATTACGATATTATTGCTGAGAAGAAAAAAACTTAAGACCAGCTTGCATCTAATACTGCAAATTCTTAACTCCATTAGCAGATGCAATTCCAAGCTCCTTTAGTGCTATTATTTCAACTGATTCCTAACCAGATGCAATCTATACTTATTTTTCAGCTAATTTATGATTTCTCCAATTACTCGCTAGCTCAGATTGGATAAACTAGGGAACCATTGTACTACTAACCTCCTTAGCATTCAACCAGCAAATAGCAAGGCTAGTCTGAAGCAATTAAACAGATTCTGAAGCTCGAATCTATTCAGAAGCCTGAGCAGGGATTGAATTACTTAGCATCTCTGATAGAACAACTTCGCATTAATCAGATTGCAATAGCTTACTCTTTGAGACTGCAATCTGAAACTCTCAAACAAATCCGGAATATCTCATACAATCAGACTAAAGCTCTGCAAGAGATCTTACAGCTAATCAGATGCTTACAAGCTATTTCAGCTCGAAATGCAGCTCAAGAAGAAATGAATTCTCTGCAGATAAATGCTATTTATACTAACCCTGAGAATAATAGTGAATAGTGCTCTGAAGTATAGCATGCAGAGATCAACGATATTCTGAAGAAGAACAGAACTCTGCACAGATACTATAACTATAGATCAAAGACTCATAGTGCTTATGAATGCATAAATCTCCGTATGCTCATGAACTATAGCATCTGCTATGCTCTAATGCTAGCAAAGCTAGAGTAGCATCTTAGTAATTAATTGGAGTTTCTGAATTCGAGATTGAAATCTGTATCATATAGCCAGATTATAGCTACTCAAGCAACAACGCTACATTCTGGATTCCAGATATCATTGAATACAATCCCATATCTAGCTATACCAGCCCTAATTCAGAAATTATTAATCTAGCAACTGAAGCGGATGATAATGCTGAGAATGAAAATAGAGTTGATAATAATAAACATTTC